GGGAAAGAGAAGTATAAAGCAGTAGCCAAAGAAGAGCTTGAAGTTGAGGGAGGCTTTTTTTTTTTTTTTTAAGATAAGACAGACTTGAACATGCTTAAATGCTGTTAGACATAGCCGTCCATCAATAGGCCATTTAAAAAATCAATCAGCCTTCCTGTCTGACATTTCTACTTCATCCTTCCTCATATTCAATAAACATTCTATATTGAACTAATAATTCTCTTCTTAGCTTTGACAGCTAATATAACTGGGGTCTTCTGTAAACACAATACTTTAAAATAAAGGAGGCAACTCTACCCAGGATCAACCTATCAGAATGTGCAAAAAAAGCCTTCTCTTTAGAAGCATATTTTGAATAATTTCCCATTATTTTCAACACTAGCAACAATTTTATTTTTTTAATACATATTATACAGCGTTAGAGCAAATCTGGTATAAACAATTAAAAGACAGCACCTAAGGACTTAGTCACTGGATACCATTGAGGTTCATAGGACATGTGAAAGTTTAGAAAGGACAAGGAAAAGTGGAAAACTACTTCCCTTAGCATATAGAAATCAGGAATTCTGCTGGCTAGTTGCCAGAGACTTAATCATTAGAGCCAGTATGCCAAAACCTTTGATGAGGAACCGAGAAAAAGGTCTGTGCCCTCTTAGAGTTTATTATACCAACTATAAAATAGTTTGCAAAAGGCACAAGTGTGGGAGACTGAAATAAAGAATAAAACTTAGCAGGACACAGGAAATAGAAGGACATAAAAAAGAATTGTTGAAGGCTTTGAAAGAAAAGACAAGGATGAATAAGCAGAAGAATAGGAAAAGAACAGAGTGAATCCTAACGGTCGACCTCATACAATATTTATAAGATACTGAGCTGCAAGGTAAACTTACTAAATACTTTGAGTAAGTTCACATTGTTACACCAGAGTTTTTGCAAGAGATGTCATTGTTATTTACAGTTCATTTAAAATAGAAAAAGAAAAGCTATTTTGGAAAAAATAGAATTACATATTTAAAAAGATCTTGAAAGATAATCTGGTTCTTGACAAAGGTGTACAGCTGTCAACTTCCAGCTGTCAGCACCTACAGGATCTGCCTCAGATTTCTAGCCAAGGTTACCCTCTTCCAGAGCATCTCCCTACCAAAAACTGAGCATGGCAGGGGTACCAAGATCAGGTCCTATGTGCCTAACACAGGATTCTTCTTTGCACTTCACTCCAGAGTTCTCTTTTATGTTGGCCAAGACTTTGTCAGATCTACATAGCAATTTAAAGCACCCTCTGCCCAGTCCTGCTTCCTCCTCCCTTTCCTATTGTAGGGATCAGATCAGTGTCCCTTTTTGTCCTCTTTCTGTGCCTAATCATGTGCATTATGCTCCCTATCCTTCAAAAACTTCATGAACTCCTCTCGTATCTCCATAGCTGTCTCCTGATAGATAACTACTGCAAAGAACATATTTGCAATTCATGTATCTGATAAAGGACTTATATCCAGAATATATAAAAAGCCTTTAAAATGCAATAAGAATCCAATTTTTAAAATGAGCAAAGACTTCATTTTAAAAGATATGCAAATAGAAAATAAGTACATGAAAAGATGTTCAATATCATAAGCCATCTGAAAAACAAAAATTAAAACCACAGTAATATGCCACTACACACCTATCAAAATAGCTAATATTAAAAAGACTAACAAAAAATAAAAAATAAATAAAAAATAAAAAAATAAAAAGACTGACAATTCCAAATGAGAAAAAAAGGATGTGGAGCAACTAGCATCTGAATATACTGCTGTAAAATCACTCTGGAAAACAGTTTGGCAGTTTCTTATAAAGTTAAATTTTTACTTACCATATGACTTAACAATTCCACTTCTAGATATTTACCCAAAAGAAATGAAAATGTGTACGAAAACGTCATAGCAGCTTTACTAAAAACAGCCAGAAACTGGAAACAATGCAAATGTCCATAACAAGTAAACAGACAAATTATGATATATCTATACAATGAAAAGAGCACTTAGCAAGAAAAAAGAACAACCTACCAGTACATAGGCAACCACATGAATCTCAAAAATATTATGTTGAGTCAAAGAAGCCAAATATATAAAAGGACACATATGATTTCATTTCCATGAAGTTGTAAAACTGGCAAAACTAATCTTGAGTGATAGAAATTGGATAAAGGGTTGCCTCAGGGGTTGAGGAATTGACTGCAAAGAAGTATGAGGGAATTTTCTACGGTGATGGAAATGTCTGTATCTTGATTGGGTAGTAGTTACACAGGTGTACATATTTATCAAAATTCATCAAAACTGTACATTCAAAATGTATGCATATTATTGTATGTAAATTATACCTCAATAAAGTCAATTTTTAAAAATATACTCCTGACATTTATACATCTTATACTAAATAAATACTAAACAAATATATAAATACTATATCTAACAGTATTTCCTGGTATTGCAAATGGAATATTAATCTCATTTACATTTCTAGATGAGTTATTGCTAGATCTGTTTATTTTTTTATGCCCAAAGACCTTATCAAAGTCCCTTATTCTGTTGTTTTTAACTGAAGTCCTTTGGGTTTTCTAAGCATATAATCTATAAACAGCAAAAAATAAATAAATAACTTTACCTCTTCTTATCCAACATTTATATAGATTATTTTGTTTACCTCTCTTACTGCATTCACTAGTCTCCAAAAGAATATTGGATAATATTGGTAATTACCAGATGTCCTCTCTTTTTTCTAAAGGAAATATCTTAACAACTGAGTGCTTAGAATATTACTTTCTGTCAGATTTTTATAAAATCCTTATCAATTTGTAGTTTCTATTTTAAGAAGGATTTTTAAAATATTTTCAAGTAACTCTTCTGTATTTATTAGATAACTTATGGCTTTTCTCCTTGAAATTGTTAAAGCAATAAAATATGCTTATAGATTTCTTAATATTGCAACAACTTACTTTCTTGGAATAAAACCTCTTAAACTATTCTTTTGATAAGGTACTGTGTATTCTCTTTTGAATACACATTCATAAACTAACTTGAACTTTGGGGTTTTTTTTGATATCTTTATCAGGTTACAGTATGAGACTGGCTTTATGAAATGATTTAGGGAGTTTCCATCTTTTTCTTTACCTTAGAATAGTAAAAAAAAAAAAATTACCTATTGTTCTTTAAAAACGATTTAAAGGATTTAACTGTAAAAGTATCGTCTCCATGCTATTTTTAGATATTTAACTTTTAGATATTTAATCTCCAATTTTTCTATTATAATTAGTCTTCGTTTTTCCTACTCATTGGGTCAGTTTTATTAAGAAGTCATTATCATATCTTCTAAATTTTCAATGTATTGCTTTTGAGTTTTAGTAATTTATAATATTTGAATTTCCTTCCACATCGTTACGTCCTTTTCTTGTCTATCTTGTATAATTTTCTCTCTTTTTCCTAATCAGGATCAAGAGAAGATTATCTATTTTATTGGTGTTTTCAAAGAACCAGCTTTTGGAATTATTTATGCAAGTTTTGGGGCTATTTTATTTATTTCAATAGTTATCTTTACTGCTTTCCTTACTACCATTTTCCTTCTAATTAAGATAGTTGGGTGTTTTTGCTTCTTTACTAATAAAGACATCTAAGCCTATAAAATGGCCTGAGACAGCTTTCATCTGGTTCTATGTTTTTGGAAGCATTCTGATTTTAATTGATTATTGTATATGTCATTTTAATTAGTTCCTTTTTGATCCAAATTATGTTAATTAGGAGGGTGTTGCTAATGTCCAATATTATAAATTACTGGGGTTAATTTTTATCATTTATTACTAGTTATGTTGGATTACGATCAAAGAATATGACCTATAAAATATCTATTCCTTTTAGTTTATCAAAGTATTTTTTGTGGCCAAGTATAGAATGTTTTTATACATGTTCCATGGAACTACCAAGTAAATCATATACATACAAAATTCTCTCCGAACATTTAAAATTTTAACTTACACCACCCACCCACCCTCACTCATACACATACTCATGGTTTCCCTTACTTTGCTCGTTTTTAATTTTTCCTATACCACGTATCATTTATTATCTCATAACATACATATAACTTGTTTAGTGTTTATTGTTAATTTACTGTAAATTTTACATGAACGTAAAGTCCAGGAGAGTTTGGAATTTTTATCGGTATCTTCCACCGATGTATCCCAAAAGCCTACAAGGTTGCCTGGCACAAGGTAGGTATTCAAAAAAATGTTAGATTAAAAAAGTCATTACCACATGACCAGGCAAACAAAAGGCAAAAACAGGACTACTACTGGTGTCATTCATTCACTAACATGTTTCAGCATTTACTACGTATCAGAATCTTGCTGGTGTTAAGTATACGTAGATAAACAATTCTCTGCCTTTACTGAGCCATTAGTCTACTTTTAGGGAGTCAGTGAAGAATACTGCGAGTCAAGGAGAAGTGTATGTTTTATAAATATACTCTATGTTTATGGATCTCAAAATGGCCACAGTATCTAACTTTTCGATTCTATTTTCCTTTGCTCCACGCTGATAAAGAATTAAAACATAAGGCTGTCAAAACCCTTAAACACACTGAGAGAGATCCTAAAAGACCGTTTTTGGCCCGTAATCGCCCATCAACCTTGAACAGTTCAACAAACACACGCGTTTCCAAAATCCAGACCGCCCTGGAGACCCTGGTTGAAATTAAGTTTCGCGGAGGGGCAGGCTGGCTTCCGCAAAGGTCAAGGTTGCGTAGGCCCAGCGACGAAAGATCCCGCCTCGCTCGTAACAGGGCCACGCCGACAGTGCCAACTGACGGCGCTGCAAAACACCAGCAAGCGAAAAGCGTCAGCGGTAGGCAGGACACGCCCGAGGCCACCCCCACCGCTCACACCGCGCACACTAAGACGCATGCGCAGCTGCCCTACGAACCTCTGATTCACAGGCGTCGACCCGCCTCTCAGACCAAAAAGAGTTGTGGGAGCTTCCGGCGCTCAGTGGCCTTGTGGTTGCCTCGGTGATGTCTTGGGTCAAAGCAGCCGCTTTGGTCCACGGTGATGGGGAGGAGGGGGACGTGTTTGATGAGGAAGTCGACGAGTCGCTCCTGGTGCAGCGAGAATGGCGGAGCCACATGCAGAGACGCGTCAAAGTAAAGCTGCGTAGAGGGCGCGGGGGTCACTTGATAGTCTGGGTTGTGGGGAGAGGGGCGCGGACTTGTGAGGAACCTGGGTCCCGAGACTATGGAGGCCAGAGTGGTCCGGGCCTGGCCCGGCGCTCCCCTCCCTACCCCTTGCCACCCAGTTTGGCCCGCATTCTGCTAGGATTTTCCAGTGTGTTACTTGAAAGCGTGTAAAACTACAGAGCACCTTTCTCGATCGCCTGCCGGGTGGATTAGAAGCTGGGTCCGACCAAAATAAACTCTAAACTTTGAAGAAATTGCAGTTTGATGAGGATCACAGGGAAGACGGTGGAGGAAAAATAAATACACTATGATAATTAAGGTTGTCAGGCGACATGTACACAGTTAACACGGAATGCTTGAATGGGTGAGGAACCAAGGGGTGAAACTAATGTATACGGATAAGGGAACGTGAGAATGGTGTCAGCGGGCAGAACGGGAAAGCTAATATGGAATACTTGTGACTAGGTAAGGAAATATTAAAGTTGGTTTCTTTTTTATTTCTTGGGTGTGATTTATCCATCTCTAATTTGTCTTACTATTTGTTAAGACTAAGCTTAATACCACACACCCAATTTCCAGGTGGAGCCCTCAGAGTGTAGTTCAGAGTTAGGACCAAATGGTTAGTCCACTTCTACTTAATATCCTCGCTGACAATTAAATTGCCCCTAAATCTGATTTTGTTTAATGTTTCAGTAAAATAATATTTGCTTAGCCCAACAACCATGTTGTCAGTTTCAGAAATACTTTATGTGAGGCTAGGGCATCTTTTGAGCATCTTTTGAGTGCTATGGCACCAGAGGAGATGTAGGACAAAAATCCCTGCCCACAGAGAATCTGCATTTTTAGATGAATTTAGGTGTCGAGCAAAATTTCTAAAACCAGACTTCTTATTTTCCTTTTGCTAAACCAATTTCCTCTTTCCTTACTTTAATTAACCAAGGCCTTCAGTAACCCTACTTACTGCCCTGCCTCCTTACCCACCCACACCAATCTAGTTACAAAGGGGCCAGACATGTAATTCTCCTTTCTGTGTATCCTTTCTATGAAGCCGTTGCTAACACAGGATTTTTTAAAACTATAAGAATTAGTATTTTTAAATGTGCCAAATAAGTCTAGACTTCAAAAACAGGATAAACCAATAATACATTTTTATGAGCATAGTCTGCTTTGTGTGGCTATGCCATATGTTATAGAACCATTATGTTAAATATACACAGGAAAGGCTTATTTCATCGATTTTCTAAATTGGTTCTGTGACTTTCTAGAAAAACCCAGAATGGTTCACTTGATGTTACAGCTGCAATTCATTACTTATTTTTAGGAAGGTTATAGAGATGGACTAGAGGCTGGCAAAGCACTTACTCTTCAGCAAGGCTTCAATCAAGGTTATAAGGAAGGTGCAGAAGTCATTATAAACTATGGACAACTCAGAGGAACTTTGAGGTAATTCTTTAAACTTAAATGCTGAGTCATTTTAACCTCTGTACTACCGGAGGAGTTTTTAAGAGTGGTATGTAAAAATAAAATGTTTAAACTAAAATGCTTTTCCTAATGTTAAACCCACAAGAGTACTACAGAGCATAGAATATTTCCTTTGTAAAATCAAAATAATCATTCTTTTTAATAAGTGAGCCAGGTGTCCTTTATTGCAAAGAAATGGTAGAATGGTGTATAATTTTTGCTACCTGAACTACAACCAATCTATATCACAAAGTAATTCAAAAGATCTGGTTTTGAATAAAGCTTTTCACAAAGTAATTCAAAAGATCTGGTTTTGAATAAAGCTTTTAGTCTTGCACATGTGGCAGAACACAGTATGACAGATTTCTAGACCGGAAGTACATGATGAAAATTATAACTGGTAGTAGAAAAATGATCTCATTTACTTTAGTTCTGAACATTGAATACCTATCAAGATTCCAGAGCAATAATGGCATATATCAGAGCCAAATGGTCAAATGGCAAATGGAGCTAAGCATGACAGAGTTGTTCTCTTTGATACTTAATACCTTTTAAAATGCCCTCTATAGAGGAAATGCTTCAAAGAATCACTGATTTTAAAAAGGCTAAAAAATAAAAGCTATCAAAACAAGAAAATAGGACGTGGTTCCACAGTGTAGTGGTTAGCATGTCTGCTTTACACACACAAGGTCCTGGGTTTGCGCCCCAGTGGAGCCATGGTCCGTGGTCTACAGCCATGCCACCCTGAACAAACCCATATGTCTGATCTCGGAAGCTAAGCAGGCTAGGCCCTGGTTAGTACTTGGATAGGAGACCACCTAGGAAGACCAGGTGCTGTAGGCATAAATAATAATAAATAAAATAAATAACAATAATTATTGTGTTTAAGGTTTAAGAAAATACAATGTTTAGGAATCAGAATTTATAATCTATAGCAGGAAAATGATCAAGCGTTCATCTTCACATCAAGTTAAATTTTTATAAGCTTAGAAACTTTATTACTAAATCTTTTATATCAATTGATTCCATTTTTAAAACATCATTACTTTTCACAACCACCATTTTATGTCATGAAGAATCTGAAATGTCAGAAAACAAAAGTGCTGTCTGTACTAGAAAAGAAAAATATTTATTGGGACTAGAACTCTTCAAGAATATTGTTAGCAAATAGTGTCTACTTATAACAAAGTTGGGCAAGTGAAGTTAGCTTAAAACTTTCTTTTTAACTTTCAATTTTGAATGCAAGTGACTGCTGTATATGATTAGAAAAATGTTTTTCAACATTGGCTGCACCTTGATATCAGCTGAGAAGCTTAAAAAATAATACCCCTAGAGATTCGGATTTAATTGGTCTGGGGTATGACCTGCGCCTTGATAGTTTTAAGAGCTCCCCAGGTGATTCTAATTTACATCCAAGATCACTAGTTTAGAAGCTGTTTGATGTCCTTAAAAGAGAAACTAATTTTTCTGGTCTCTCTTTCTCTGAGTTGTATCCCTCTTTATCAGAAACTACATAATCAAAAGGAGGAAAATCTAAAATGAGGAAGAGTGGATATGGAGCTGTGAAGGAGGGGTTTATGAATTATAAACAGTTAATATGATTAACTCCAATTATTTCATTTCTATTGAAAGATAATATCCTTATGTATTTTAATTCTATTTTAACCATTATTTCCTGATTTTGGCTTGCATTATTATTCTGTTTTGCATGGTGTCATCTAGAAAAGAAACATGGAAGACTTAGCATCAAATATTCGAAAAGCCTATGATTGTTTAATTTTTTTCTATTTAACTCTTGTTTATATTTTCATTCAGTGCTTTGCTCTCCTGGTGTCACCTTCATGATAATAGTTCGACTTTGATCAGTAAAATAAATAATCTTCTGGATGCAGTTGGCCAATGTGAAGAATATGTGCTCAAACATCTGAAATCAATCACCCCTCAGCCCCATGTTGTAGATTTATTGGACTCCATTCAGGATATGGACCTTTGTCATGTAGTTCCAGCTGAAAAAAAGATGGATGAAGCTAAAGACGGAAGACTCTGTGAAAATAATGCCGAGTTTAACAAAAACTGTAGCAAGGGCCTAAGTGGGGTAGATTGTTCATCGTTAGAATGCTGTGGAACACAGGAGCATGCACATTCTGAAAACCCAAGCCTTCCTTGGATTTTAGAACAGACAGTCAGTTTAGTAAAACAGCTGGGAGTATCAGTAGACATATTACAGCACCTCAAACAACTATAAAAATTATCTTCACTTTTCTAATGAAAATAATGTTCAGAACGTTTCTTAGAGCATTTTGTTTCTCAACAAGCTTACCAAAATTTGTACTGGTTTCTACAGTGAACACTTCATTGTCCTTCATGGAAGTTTGAAATGTCTTCAAAATTAACACTATTAAATGTAATATAAGCCTTTTTCCTCTGTCACTGGTAATTTTTTTGTAGTTTAAGATATGCTCAGAAATTCCAGTTGTCATTGTCATTTTCAAATTTCCGATCAAAATCAAGCATCTTCAGACTCATTAGCTAAAGAGAACATGAATCAAACATAAGGACCTAACCCTACTCATCACTATTGGGTGGTTAGGACCTCATCACCAGCTAATCAGACCAAAGTTACCAAAAATAACCTACTGGCTAATGTAAGTATATATACACAGACATATATATATTGATAGACTTACATATAGATATATGTGTAGATATATGTTGAGATTAAGTTAAAACATACAGTTTCTTGAAAAATACAGAAAATACATTTCATGCTCAATTACCTACTTAGTTTTTCCAAGTATTAAGGAGTTGGTAGTGTTTTCTAACAATTTGCCAACTTATATCTAAATTGTAGTTTTGCTTCATATTCACATAGGAATAAAGCATTGAAACCACTGACTTGTAGTAATATTCTTAATCTAGCATAGATAAAATTATATTCAAATTTTTACTCCAGAATCTAAGCATATAAGATCAGGAAAAGATTTTTCATCACTTTTTTTTTGTCTGAAACAAATTTATGTGTGGTGCCAGACTTCAGAGGAACCCCAGTAATTGCCCCTCACTGATAGCCTTAATTGCTACCATGTACTCTAAAAGACAGATATACTGAGATAGAGAATCTGATAAAATAGGTCTTTCAAGAAAATGTACTACCATGATCTTAACCTCCTCAAAGTTCACAGAACACATTTAAAAATTTTCAGTTTGTTTCACAAATTTGAAATCAGAAGACTATATAGTGTTACAGGATTTACTAAAACATGCTGAAGATATCAAGTGACATTTTACAGCTGGTTTTATTTTTTTAAAAGTTAATCTCTGGATATAAACACTATTTCAGAGATTTACTAATTTCTTATATTTCCCATTTATGGATACAGAAAAAATCTCAAATCCTCATGGAATATTATAAGTAGTCTCTTTAAAGTCTTCATGTTGCTCTACCCTGCATATTAGCTATGAAACGTCCATTTTAATGCTACATCTCAAGAAAGTCACCCTGAATGAAAAATTTCATGAGTGCAGCAAATCTTGAGATTTTATCTGGACTCGCTCTAATATTCCCTGAAGATAACACTCTTTGCCACCATTGGAATTGTGTTTTTGTCTAGATGTTCATAGAAAAGGGCAAGAAATAGCTGCATTGATGAGGCTGTTGGGTTGAAAACATCTCTTAAACTTGCTCTGCCTTTTAAAAAAATACAGAAGTTCCAGGACTGCAGAGGAGTATTAATGATATGCTCATATCTGTGCTCCATGAACGTGAGTCTCTGTAATAGAAACAACAAAAGTGAAGGAAAGAAATTTTACTCACGTTGTGTCTTTTACCTTGCCTTATACGTCATAGGCCTGTCAAGTCTTTCCATGAAGAGGCCCTAGATGAACATAAACATAAGCCAAGATTGCCCCAGAGCAGGCACAGCCAGTTTCAAGACCTGGGACAGTCATTAGGTCTAGTGATACAGTTTCCTTAAAAACAGAATTTTCTTCTTAAATATGTTATTTTTAGATTCTGACATTTTTGGTGTTTTCCTAAAGGTGAAGGTGGAGAAGTCCACAATAATACACTTTTCTGACGTTTCAGTTTCTTAGAGCTACTGAGGCCACCAAAACTTTTGTGAAAAACAAACAGGAAGTGGGCAGCTGATGCACCTGCCTGCATCTTTATCTCATTTATATCGTTAGCGTGGGTACTAACTGCGTGGTAAACCAAAATAAAAGCCTTGAACCAAGTCCAAATTGTGATTTTCACCATCTTCAAACTAAAAGCATTGTGTTCCAGTATAAGATGTAGAGGAATCAATAAATATATAGAGAGGTGGAAGTTAAATTGACACGTATAGAAAGAGTATTACTTATTTTTAAAAGCTTAATTTCAGACTATTGGATGAAGTAAATATGCTGTGTTAATAGATTACCAGACTTCTTGCTCTCCAGAAATTCTCAAATCTCCATCATGAAGATACTTTACCACCATAGTTGCCTTTCCCACTTCTCTCATGTACGACCTTTTCCCAAAAAACTTACTGGGAGAGGAGTCTGTTGTCACTGTCTCAGATTTCTTTTTTCTCATTCACTCCTCAGCTTTAAACTGCTTTTGGCTAAACTGTCCCTGACTTGTTTTCAGTTCTATCACTTGTCTCCTCCATCATTCAACATGATGAACCATCACTACTTTTATAATCTCTTCAGCAGCACTTTTTCTTCTACTTATTACTAATTTCCACTGGATAAAATATACACTTGAATTTTTCTGGGCCCAAGCAGCATTGTTAGTCTATCTCCCATCCTACTTCCTGCTCTTCCATGTATACTATACTTCTTTATGGATGATACTTCAATGTTTTATGAATAATTCCCAACTTCCAATTTTACTCATTCCTGTCTCTTCTGCCTAGAATACTTTATTCCACATCCTTCCCTCCCAGAAATGTATACTTCAATACACCTCAAATTTCAACCATCTCAGAGTTAGTTGCTCTTGCCATTGTTCCCTCCGCATCATTTTGAGTATCTCAAACTTCAGTTTTTTTCAAGAAAGTGCCTTATTCCTTATTATATCACCAGCACTTAGCATCATACTCTGTACATAGATGCATAGGTGGTGCTTAATAAGAGAAAAAATAAATGAATGTATCTACTAATCTACTAGCCAAATCGAAAATGAAGCCAGAAATTTAAGATTCCAAAATACATCATGTTATATATCCCTTTTAGAAACAAAACTTTGTTTGCCTTTTTAAAAAAGTTCCTTTTCATTTTACATGTTAATAAAAATCCACATATACAAATTGTGTTGTCATGTTGTACCAAGCTAAATTGTGACAGTAAGAGTATAGTATATATTTACATTAAAAATTGTACTAACGAATAAATAATATTACAATATTATTTTTAAAGATAGAAAATTGTAGTAGTTTCAGCTAATAACAGAAAAACTACCAAAAAACTGGAGGAACACAAAAATACTAATTTTTAGCAGGTCATCTAGTGCATAGTACCTAATAACAATAAGGAGTTAGAGGAAATAGAGCCATGAAAAAGTAATAGCTAACACATACAGTATTAACAATATACAGGCACTATTCTGAAAACTTTGCATGGGTTAATATGTTTAATCCTCATAACAGCCCTATGCAGGAAAACTTAATTATCTCCATAAGGGAATAAGGAAACCGGGGCACTGAGAAGGCTGAGTAACTTGTCCAATTCACAGCTACTAAGTGGCCCAGCTGAGATTTAAAGCAAGGCAAATCTAGCTCCAGAGTTCACTCAAACTAAAAGCATACAAAATAACAGTAGCAGTGATTATGTTTAGTAGAGAGACTATGAAGTATATTTTCTCCTTGCTGTTAATTTCTACTTTTCTGCATTTTTCAAATCTAACCCAGCCAGCAAATATTTCTTACAATAAAATGTGTGTATTAATCAGCAGCTACAGGAACAAAAAATTTACCAGAAGTTTGTATGCTGTACATCTAGAAAAAGAGAAATATCATTCTCTACTGGGAGGAGAGAATCTTTGTCATCTAGGAAGTGGTATAAAAAGGTGAGTTTAGCTTATACAGAAACTAAATTTTCCTTGGACTCCTTAGACTTTCTTCAGTCCTGGTGGAGAGGATAATTTGTGTCATTCATTTTGTGAATATAGTTCTTTAGCTTTCATAAATACCTACCTTCAAAAACAAAGTGTTATCTCACCTTGTTAGTGTAAAATTATACTTAAAAATATGCGTATTGCTACAATCTGCCAGAAAAAGCCAAATCCTTAACATATACCAAACTCCATTTTCTTGCCCTACGAATAGTCTGATCTTTACAAGCAGGGTAACAAAGTAAGATCTGAACTACCTGCAACAGATTCAATTCTGCAAAAGTTGAATCCTTATGCTATTCATGCCGTGTATATGCAATATATGTGGAGAGAGCAGCCTGGACTTCTAGATCATTTCCAAAGAGCTGTTGGATTAGTTAAAGGCCACTGGGTGGTGCTGGCACATCCTAGTATTTTATGTGCTCTTTTCTTAGTTTTCGTCGTCTCTTGGACAATAAACCAATGATCATCCCTAAAGCTATGCCAAACAGATTGAGTTATTTGATAGATTGTGTGGGTAAGGAGAGTTTTCTAATGTATGTCTGTAAACTCAAGAAATTACGGTGACCGCCCCCCCCTTTTTAATTCTAGGCTGAGAATTTTTCCAAAAATAACCGATCATCAGGTTTTAAAGGTATGGAGAGACAACAACTTACTTTGTTAACCTATCAAATATGTCATATCGCTTCTTTTTTTAGTCAACAAATCTGCAAACAAATAGGTTTTCCTGACATCAGATACAACTCATTCCAGTTAATAATTAAGCCCATTTCCTTATGAACTGCATAGTCACCATTATGTAATAATGCTTTGTTATTTATAAGTATGTGATTCTATAAGGAATTTTTAAACAAAATATAAGTGATTTGTCAAATCCCTTGTAATAAGAGTGATTTGACAACAATAGTACTGACAGTCCTTGCCAATAAGGTGAAACTGAAATGAGGGTATAGTGTAAATAACCTGAAAATAAAATATTTCTTTTTCTTATTGGAAAAATTACAAAACACCTTTAAAAAAAATCAGATCCTAAAATAACCAGGGACTCTATGATTATACATTATACCACAAAATATCAAATTATACTTGGGAATTTTCAATGATGAAATAATTTACTTAGTAAAAACTAATTGTAAATTTTTAATCTATCACCTGTACTAGAAATTACTGCCATGGGGTTGATTATGGAAGGAAAACTCATTTAATGTATTTAAACATTAAAATCTCAAGTGGGAATCAATTAACCTATATTTATTTGAAATCACTTGGTTTTGCTATACAGTGTGCCAAATGATATATTACTAGTTTGTGTTTTAATCTCATAG